ACTAAGTATTAAAAGCACTCAGCTGCAAAAACTGAATATTAAACATTACTACTTACGTGTAGGAAAACAATTAACATAAACATCTCAACAAAATATCTTTGTATTTATGTACTATGGATAAGGTAGAACAATATAAGTATATTTGTATTGGTTTCGATAATCCTCGAATAATTATTGAAATATACTTTAACGAATGAATTAACACATCACAAAACTAATTCGATTGTATATCAACAAAAGCTTAATCTTTTATTCTCCAAGACAATTTTAGAAGAGTCAGATAAAGTAACTGAAACGATTGGAATAAAGATATTTTTCTGATCTAATTATAATATAAACATATAATGGCTTTCTTTTTCATTCTAAAAGAATTTGAGTTATCACATTACGATTGCTAATCGTATATCAAATGTTAATCAAACAGCTGTTTATTTTTGTTTTAGAATAAAACATTTAAAAGTTTTACCGGTCATAAGTCATAGCAACATTAATAAATGTCGTTGATGCAAGTGTCACAACTTGAATATACAATGTTAATTTGCATGCAATATTTCCTAATATCCATTCTTGATCATAGATAAGAAGAAATAGTTCTGACGTCATCGTGCAAAAACATATAGTTAAATCTCCAATAGCCAAATTTAGTATAAATAACTGTAAACGAGTACGATGATGATGAAAAATTAATTTAAATATAATATAAATATTCCCAACTAAAGTTATAAACATAATACTAGTTAAAACAAATATACGAATATATTTATCTGTTGACCACTGAAGATAGGGCATTACTGAATGTGATGATATATCAAACAAATTTAACCAAGAGAAACAAATTGATCTATTATATTGATTCGTGTTTCTCTTTTCTTTTCTTTTTTTTTATTTTCTACTGAATCGATTGCTCTGTTTTTGATCTTGAAAATTTTAGCAATTGAATAATGTAGAAAGTTATTGATAAAAGTAGAATCACACGTGGAAGACAATCAATGATAACTCTAAATTATATATTTTAGAA